TTGTTATGGAATTCCAAAAGCCATAAAATGGAATTAGTTCAGAACTGTGAATTTTCCAAAGGTTATTAATCATTTTCACAGGGATGAAAAAAAAACGCTAACAAAAACATTCATCTTTTATTCATAACAATTTGTACGGAAACAGAACACAACAACAAATAGAATATTCACGTCATTACAATTTATTGTCATAAATTAACATTTCATTGATCCACTGCCAATCGTCGGAATACGATTTTCTCTAACAAGATCTCTCTGTTTATCTATTACACTCGACAATCAGCTGCTTAGTTGGCTGGCCATTTCTAAACTCAGCCCGTAATTGTCATTGTTAATCATTTTCCGAGTTTAATGGGAATTGCAAACGTCATGTGGCAATAATTGCAGAATGCACAAAACGGAATGACAACAACACACATCTGTTGACACTTGTTAGCCGTCATCAGAATTGTCATCATCATCATCGCCATCTCTAGCATCATCATTGACTTGTTGGCTGATTGCGTTTAAATGTTAGCCAAATTCCTTTGAATGATTAATTGCTGGAAAATTGTTTTGTCAACACCACCACCACGAATATCAATCGAACGCCCAGTGCTGATGATGCGATTTGTAAAAAATAGAAAAAAAGTCAGGCAAACGCCAGCTAATGTCACATTCAATTTATAATAATTTCCTTGTGCGACATGTGCAGATAGGCAGTGTGTGTGTGTTTGCAGCCATCTGATTACATTTGTCATAACAATAATAATAATTGATTTGTTCAATTCATTTGTTAAATGTAAACGATTTGTTTAAATGTTTAATTAGATGTTGCGGTTTTGAGAGTTCTCAATAAAATAAATTTGCTAGACCAGGTGGCGTATGAATAACAGACTGCGGAGCAATTAACGATATAGAAAGGATTCTATTAAACACTCCTAAAAATAAAGGGCTTTCAGACGACGAACAAAACGTTACAAATAAACAGGAAATATAACGCGGAAAATCTTCATCAGGTCTACTATGAGAAGACCTTCTTCTGGACTTCTATGAGAAAACCCTCTTCAGGTCTTCTATGAGAAGACCTTCTTCAGGTCTTCTATGAGAAGACCTTCTTCAGGTCTTCTATGAGAAAACCCTCTTCAGGTCTTCTATGAGAAGACCCTCTTCAGGTCTTCTATGAGAAGACCCTCTTCAAGTCTTCTATGAGAAGACCCTCTTCAGGTCTCCTATGAGAAGACCCTCTTCAGGTCTTCTATGAGAAGACCCTCTTCAGGTCTCCTATGAGAAGACCCTCTTCAGGTCTCCTATGAGAAGACCCTCTTCAGGTCTCCTATGAGAAGACCCTCTTCAGGTCTCCTATGAGAAGACCCTCTTCAGGTCTTCTATGAGAAGACCCTCTTCAGGTCTTCTATGAGAAGACCCTCTTCAGGTCTTCTATGAGAAGACCCTCTTCAGGTCTTCTATGAGAAGACCCTCTTCAGGTCTTCTATGAGAAGACCCTCTTCAGGTCTTCTATGAGAAGACCCTCTTCAGGTCTTCTATGAGAAGACCCTCTTCAGGTCTTCTATGAGAAGACCCTCTTCAGGTCTTCTATGAGAATACCCTCTACAGGTCTTCTATGAGAATACCCTCTTCAAGTCTTCTATGAGAATACCCTCTGCAGGTCTTCTATGAGAAGACCCTCTGCAGGTCTTCTATGAGAAGACCCTCTTCAGGTCTTCTATGAGAAGACCTTCTGGTCATCTATGAGAAGACCTTCTGGTCTTCTATGAGAAGACCTTCAGGTCTTCTATACCAAGACCTTCTTCTGGTCATTTTGAACTTCTATACGAATACCTTCTGGTCTTCTATACGAGACCTTCTGGTCTTCTATACGAAGACCTTCTGGTCTACTATAATAAGAAGATCTTCTGGTTTTTTATAGGAAAGCCAATGAGAAGACCATGTGGACTTTTATAGGAAAACCTTCTCCTCTTCTATTAGAACACCAAGGGGTCTTCTATAGGAAGACTGTTTGGTCTTCTTTAGGAAGACCTTCTGGTCTTCTATAGGAAGGCCTTCTGGTCTTCTCTAGGTCTTCTCTGGCCTTGTACAAGAAGACCCTCTGGTCTTGTATAAGAAGACACTCAGTTATTGGTCATCAATGAGAAGACCTTCTGGCCTTCCTGTAGAAATAGTTTTCTATTAAAGAATTCGTCAGCAATGGAATTGTAATTTCCTCCAAATCCTATTTTCTACATCATTATATCTTAAGTTTGTAAGTCTCATATTGTTTGTTTCCTTTAGTTACTGTTAAATACAAATAAATTAGCATTTATTTGAATCATAAATTCACCACACTTCAACAACACTTTAACCACCATGAGAGGGTACTGAGATTAATATAATGCATACGGAAATTTGAGAGATGAGATTTGTAAGATTTCCTAGCACAACAAAATTGGTATTGTGGAAACCACAAAAAATCAGAAGAGAGAAAGAGAAACAATAACAACTTAGCAATAAATGTACGGTTAACTGATGCTGGAAACGGAAAATAACCGTAATATTTGTGTTCTCAAGCAGAACTGATACAACTGAGTATTAGTTTGAGTACGTGAGTATTGATTGGTAATAGTAGTGTTGCCATCTTTAGCAAATATAATAAAAATATAAAAGCTATAAAAAGTGATTAATGAAAAATAAATACTTACAATTTTAAGTGTCTTTAAGAAGAAATAAAAAAATTGAGAAAATAATGGGATTAATAAAAATGTTGCGAAGGAAAAAGAAATAAAGAAAGAAAGATTTAATAAGCTACTTCAATAAGTAAGCGCTATAAAATAAGTCGCCGAATCTCAGAGTTTTAAGTTGTTGACTTCGGAAGATGACTCAAGAGTGAAATATCTTTCATTCTAATACGAAATGAATGGAAAACAACTATATTAAATTCTGAATAATACTGGTTTAAAAATCTTCAAAAAACAGGGTTAGCGTTACCATCCTCAGATATGCCAGATTCAGTAAAAACTATAGATATTGCAGCTGAAAAATACAGTTTGTACTTTAAAAAACTGTCAAACGGCACACAACCGCTACTTGAGACATTTCTCAAAGCATCAATTTACGTAGGACGAATTTGTAGTCAATGAGAATCCAAATGCCACACTGCATCCTTCGTGGTTGAAAATTGTGGTTGACACCTTAAAACAATGGCGACCAGGGGTCCCATAAATGGGGGCTTTACTTTTAATTTTTTTTTATTTTTAGTTGTTGAGAAACATATTCTTCAAATTATAGCTTATTTGGGTGTTCAATTCATGTCATATTTTTAAATTAATTGGAAATGGGAAGTATTTTTATCTGGAGTTTATACCAAATAGTGCATCTAAATTGCACATTTTACAATAATACAATATCGACTCAATAAGAGCTAAAAATATTTTATTGCCCGAAAACTGTGGAAATCATGATGTGATGTGTGATATAGATATAGCTTGTCTAAACGACGGAATAACCCATTTTAAACACATCGTTCTAGACATAATTCCAATTATTGCCAAATTTCCAATCTCTATGTAATGGAATTCAACCTTTTTCTTTAGTTTACCACACAGATATGAAACTTTTTTCTGATCATAAATATGAGTTCTCAAACAGAGGGGATGGTAGCCGATTTTCGAAAAACCTTAAAAAATGTGGCAGAGGAAGGAACTTTGTCTTGGGGTTTCTTTGCGAGGTAGGCATTTAAAATGCCGATACATGTGTATCTAGATTTAAGCTTTACTTTCATAATCTATTGTATTTTTCAAACAATTACGAAAAACTGCATTTTGTCGCACAGTGTAATTGAGGAGTATGAAAAATGCTTCTAAACAGTTTTAGGTATGTTAATGGTCCTAGCTTTATTTAATTTAAATATAAATTCACTTCGTTTTGAAAATACACCGGGTCTCTGCGAAATGCCATTTTTTGCCACAATTGAACATTTTATATGGAAAAGGAAGATTTGCTCCCCTATATATACAGTGACCTATCCCGGGATGTATAACCGATTACGAAATCTAAGCACCGAATTTTAAACGATTCCTTTAGAAATGTGGCTTAAATCGTCAAATAACGAATATCATATACATAAATACTATTGGAAAACGTAGACCTATATAAATAATTCTGGTAGAAAATATGATTAAAATCGCCAAAATAACGAATATGGGGAGGTACAGATAAATGAAGGTTTGCGAAAACGAACTTAACCAGCCTACTAATAAAATACACATGTGGGCAAAAGTTTAGCCCTCCATCTGGATTCGTTCGTTCGTTGCAATATAGCGCGATTGCAACTGAATCTTATAATAATAATTAAATCTATTTATTTTATAACCATTGCTACAAGAATATTGATTTTGAAATACTGTGCGCATTTCCCCTTTTTTAACATATTTTTATTTAGTATGGCAACCCCAAGGGCCAGAGTAAATTTAATTAACAAGCAAAACTCTCTTGTTAACCTCTTCTCAGTTGTTTACTTTTTGATTGCTTTCAATGTATTGGTTTGTTTGTTTAATTTTAAACAAATCGTACAAGCTAAGCTTATAAAGTGCAGACCCTTTAAGTATTTAGTTGTTAGCGATAGCTCGCTTGAAACGGTTGTGTAAGCGCTTAGTTCAACGGACGTGACCACAGCAATAAATGTCGGTACGGGGGAAATAAGTAAAATAAACAATTCGCTCAATCACCAGCCGAGTATTTATTGGCCATATAGAATTCAATATTAGTAATAAAAAAATATATTTTTTTAATTTATCAAAACGTAAGAGGCGCGCGCGAACGTTCACTTGCTGGGTGAAAAAGAAAAAAAAAACAAAACAAACAAATAAAAGGCAAAAAAAAGAAAAATAAACAACAACAAATAAATTTGAAACCAGAAGTGCTTTGTTATCGCTTGCAAATAAGCAATTAAAAAGAGATAAAATTTTGTTTGTATTTTGATTTTTTAATAATACATAAAAAAATTAATATAAAAAAGAGTGCAAAAATTTACGAAAAAAATTGAAAATTTATTAATAAAGAAAATATTTGATGCAAAAAAGAAGTTTGTGTTCTAAGTCTTTTGTTTTGTTCTGCATTTAACCTCATTTACTGAAGTGATTTTGTGAAATATGAATTTGCATTGAAAGTGTCAAACTGATTTTAAAATAAAGTATTAATACAAAATTATGGCTCTCACAAACTTTTCCCTGCCTTTTGGGGCATTGACACAATCTGCCGGTGTGGCTGGCCCTTGGAGTCCCACAGTTTCCCCTCTACATCCCATACATCATCAGTTGGCAGCCAATACAAATAATCTGCTCTACTCCCCAGTGGATCATCAGCAGCAGCCCGAGGATGGTGCGGCACCACCACCTGGTTCCGATTTTTACAAAAATAATCCCTATGCTCCGCCACAGCAGACCTCGTATCAACAGTTCAATAGCGGCAGACGCAAGAATACCTATTTACCACCAGTTACAACAACAGGTACCCGTAATACCCAATACCATATACAACAGCCATCTGTTGCTATCCAGCAGCAGCAGCAGCAACAACAACAATATCATCATCAACAACAGCAGCATCTGCAACATCAATTTAGTCACATTAATAACCAACAGCAACAACAACATCTGCAGCAGGCACAAAATAATAACAATGCCGTTTTCAAAACTGCATCCTCATCCTCGTCAGCAACGATAACTTCATCCTTAACAGCCTCGGCTAGTAGTAGCACAACCAGCAATGGTCCATCATCCAATACACGCACTTATGGTGAGGGGAGCTATTCAAGATTTCCACAAGCATCGAACAATAATAATAACAACAACAACATTGTAAAAGAATCATTAGCACCACAGCAACAACAACAACAATATTATAACTCTTTCGCCTCGACTAAACAAAATCATCAACAATCTCGTCTAACTGTAGGTTCTGCACAGGGTGGCATAAATTTCGGTTTACCCAAGACAAATGTGGAACAGCCACCACCAGCTCCAGCTGCCCAATATGGCCCAGCCAATGGCAAGGGTACTCCCTCTTCGGCTGCTGCTGCTGCTGCTCCTGGTGATAGTACAAATGATGCATATCCCGATAGACCGCCCGGTTTTACACGAGTTCAAGCCGGTCAGGGTTCTAGAACTGGGGTCCATGCCGTTCTCGACTATGATTTGGAAGAGGGCGAAGAAGAAGACTATTATGATGCTGAAGATCAAGGTGAACCCGTTAATAAAGGTAGGTTGTTGTTTTTTTTTTCTTTTTGCCCAAGTGTACGTGTGTGTGTTTGTGAAATAAATTTATTTAGACGAGTTATTGGAATTTTTCGTTTTTTCGTGTGTGTGTGTGCGTGTTTCTTTCATTAACAAGAATATAAAATAAAACAAGAGACTATGACTAACTAGTGGCTTGAAATATGTATTTGACGTAAATCTCGAAATGTTTAATCAAATTAAGTTAAACATTGTTGCGGAATATTTTTCGAACATAAAGCGCTTGAAAAAATAAGTTTTCATATCAAACAGTTTTTAAAACGCAGGAGGAAATTAGAATCTGAGAAATGAAATACTGCGGGTTGAAGCTATAAAAAAGTTAATACATGGAAAATAGAGGAGAGAACATAATTTAGTAGAGAGAAGAAAAATCATGCCTCTCAAGACATCTAGGAAAATATTGATGCAAGAAAAAATCACGGATTTTACTTGCAGGAGTAATCTCAGAACTTTTTTTATTTTATGGCGCGTTCTCGAGTATTTCTGTTTGAAAAATAAGAGTAGAAGTGAAATCGATCGTGAAATAGAGTAAGAATTTACTGTAAGAGTGGAATCGGATGGAAAATTAATATATGTTTCTCCGATTAGTATGTGTGCAATAAAAAAAAATATTGAATATTTTGCAAGAGACCTGTGGATTTAGCGAAAATGCTCTTCAAAGTATATGATGAAAAAATTATATGACAAAATTAAAAAAAAGATAGGAAATAGTAAAATCTGCTAGATTTCGAGCGAATTTTTCCCTTCACTCAAAAACGAGCAAAGCATATTACCTCTGATCAATGCATATAAACAAATTTTGCAAAAAAATTTTAAAAGGATATAGCTAAAAATTGAAATTTTTATACCCTCTACCATAGTATGGAGGGTGTGCCGTTTGTCACACCTCGAAATATACATTTTAGGCCTCACAAAGTATATATATTCTTGATCAGCATAAAATACTATGTCGATTTAGCAGTGTCTGTCCGTCTGTGGAAATCACTCTAGCTTCCGAACGAATAGAATTAGGTAATAATATTTTACTCAAATGAATATTATATCTGCAGGATTTTTGGTATTGAAAGTTTTGGTATAGCCCCCATATAACGGTACCTTCCGATATTCGGTATTTTGATTATTGTAGAGACGTTATTCAACGGAATTGTTTCAAATTTAGTATTTAATGTTCGTAATAGATACTACAGCCTATGACTGAAGATTGTCTGTGCAGGTCCACGTTTTCTTATAGCCCCCATATAACGGTATCTCCCCAAATTCGGTATTTTGATAATTTTATCGACATTATTCACCGGAATTGCTTCAAATTTGGTATTTGAAGTTGGTAATGGGTAGTATCCGCATATGACAGAAAATTGTCTGTGCAGGTCCACGTTTTAGTATAGGCCCATATAATAGTACCTTCCTATATTCGGTATTTTGATGATACGTCGTATAGACCCTACCAGATTTTTTAACGAATTTTTATTTTTTTTTTTTGAGAATTGCCAAATTCGTTCCAAGTCGTGGAGGGAATTTAAAATTCGACCCGGCCGAACTTATAGCTTTTTTGCTTGTTTAAAATGTGTACTAAGTGTGCGAACTGTACTAAATGGACCTAATGGTCTGGTATAGGTTGAAGAGATGAAGCTGGAATTTTGAAATTTTGTATTGGGGTCCCTGTTGGTGGTAGGTTTGTGTTAAAGAGGTGGTTTTGAAAATGGGTACTATAATTGTACGAAAATTACAGAATGGTACAGTATTTGGCATTGGGTGAAGGAATAGAGGTGCAATACTGAAATTTGATATTGTGGTCTTTCTTGGTATCTGGGATTGAAATATGGTATCATGGATAGGAAATTTGTACTATAATTGTACGAAAAGTTCTAATGGTACTACACTTCTAAAATTGTACTCTTTGGTATTATGTGAAGGGATAGCGCTAAAACCTTGAAATTTGGTATGAGAATCAGGGTTGGAAACTAGGTTTGATATATGAAGGTGGTTTTGGAAATGTGTACTTAGTGAACGAAATGTACTAAATGGTACAGAATTTGGAAAAGTTTGGTTAAGGGTAAACGGATGAAGCTGAAATTTTGTAATTTTGTACTGAGGTGCCTGTTGGTGGCAGGTTTGTGATAAAGAGGTGGATTGGCAAATGTGTTATACAAATGCACGAAAAGTATTAAATAGTACTGTATTTGGTGTTGGGTGAACAGATAGTGCTTAAAATCTAAAATTTGGTATTATCGTCGCTGTTCATGCGTAGCCTGAAAAAATAGGGATGGTTTCCGAAATTAGTATGATAATGGTACTATATTTGATATTGGATGAAATTTCATATTTATATTACTGATGGTATCAGTGTTTTGAAATTTGGCGGTGGTTTTTAAACGTGTCTTATATTATTTCTACGAAAAGTACTAAATAGTACTAAATTGGGTGAAAAAATTGAGCTGAAATTTGATATTAACGTCTCTGTTGGTATCTGGGATTGAGATATGGAGGTGGATTTGAAAATGTGTACTACAAGTGAACGAAAAGTTACTAAATTATACTGTATTTGGTACGATTTAATATCGGGTGAACAGATAGTGCTTGAAATCTAAAATTTGATATTTGGGTCTTTGTTTGTGTATTGCCTGGACATTAGAGGTGGTTTCGGAAATTTGTACTATGATGTACGAAAAATACTGAATGGTACAATATTTGGTATGTCTCTGTTGGTATCTGGAAATAAGATATGGAGGTAGTTTTGGAAATATGTACTATCATTTTCGAAATGTTCTGACTAGTTTTACATTTGGCATTTCGAAAAGGTATAAAGCTGGAATCCCGAAATTTGATGTTGACGTTGAGATAGTTTTGGAAAAAAAATTGGATGTGGGCCAAATATGGTTTTACAAATATTCTCCACGTAAATGAAAGATTTTGAAGACTTTTTGGTGTAAAAGTAAAAATGTTCCTAGTATCCTTTCCTTTAAAAGTCGAAAAATTTAGCACGATTTATGAAGTTTTGATTAAAAAATGTTGTCAAACTGAACAAATTATGAATTTTGGAGTACTAAAAAGGACGAAATTTAATGTTAATGTGGACTTTTTGCTGGCGAAAAAGCACCTGCTAGTATTATATGTTCGAGAGGAATAGATAAATAGGGTATGCTCGATTTTTTCTGTACTCGCAGGGATACTCCTGCTCGAAGTAGAAAGTAAATTCCTTCACATTTTTCTTAAATAACGCTTAAATAAGTTATTGGTTAAGAATTCTTTGCAACATATTTCTTATAAAATGTTTCAGCCATTAAGATCTTGAAAAATATTTTTGTTAAAACAAAATTAGGATATTTGGTCATGATGTCATTGAAGAACTGAATATTTGGTCGAAGTGTTTAAAAATATATTTTTTATAAATTTTAAAATATTCGCTATTCTTTAAAATCCAAGACTTTCGCCAATGGGACTGGCTCTCCCTTTGTTTTTAAAAATCTAACATATTTCAAGATCATAGTTGAAAGAATTTTCTTAAAAATTAAAAATCAACATTTAATAAATATTCTTAAAAAGAAATTTTAATATGCATGTATCCGGGAAGTTTTTTGAAGGAAATTATAAAATGTTCAATATTTTAAACTTTAGGTCTTAAAAATTTTCTTTATGGATCCACGATACTAGATCTTAAAGAAATCAAAAAAATGTTTTTAATAAAAATACGATTCTAGACCAAAAAGTCCTTTAAAAATTCCAGATTCGTAACCCGGAAATCTTAATAAAATAATCATGAAAACTTAAAATTTTTGGTCAGGAGGTTCTTGATCAAGAAGTTTTTTTTTTAATTCATAATTTTTGGTCAGGAAGACCTTGAAAAAAAATTAAAGATAGATTAGTGCAATTTTGCAAGGAATGCAAGGAATGAGTTGGGCAATTTATTCCATCTTCACGGAGGACGTAAGTTGAAGAAAATCTGTGAATTATATCACATTCTGTGAGAATTGTTTGATGCATGGACACTTTGGAACTACAAGAAGGATTGTACAATTCATTTTTCCCACCATATTTAAGCCCAACAAAAAAAAATAATGTAACCGAACTTCTAGCCCCAATTGAATGATCCATTTCGTTTTCTACGAAAGATATAAACTTATATTTGGATTTTCAAACTTTTGTGGGAGAAGTGGGAGGCGGAGTGAACCTATATTGCCCATACCTGAGCGTGATCGACAATTTTGCTAAATTTTTTTTTGGGTAAACCCGTATTGCCCATCTTTGAGCACGATCGAAATGTTAATAAAAATAATTTGTTATAAAAAATGTGGACCAAATCAATATCAACACTTCAGGAGTTATTGAACGAACCAGCCGGCCAGCTAGTTAGGGGTACAAATGGCCTGAAACGAATTTCGTCTTAAGGATCAATATTTCTATTAGACACATATGAAGTTATAAGAACTGCGTATACATCTCCCACAGCTGAATATACCAAAATTGAATTCTTTTGCTCAAAGAAGCAATCCCAAGATGACTAATCCATTGAAAAATACTCCTAACTTTAAAACATTTTTTAAAACTCTTGAAATACTATCTTTAAAATATCGACAATTTATTCATCTGGAACAAAATTTACACCTCATAATCTCATTAAATAAATTATGTTCTTTGGGATTTTTTTAAAACATTAAACTGGGATATTCCCCTTTTTGTTCACAATTTGGGAATATCCAATTTTGTCTTCTTAAATGTTTTCGGGAGTTCATTTATTTGTTTATTTTATTAGCACAGCTAATCCATTCCAGGCAATGACTCAGTGAAAATATTCGTGCTTGAGTTTTTAAATAGAAAAATAAATCCATTTGAAATTTGTTCCATTTGCTAATTTTTTATTCTCCATTTGAATGTGGAAGGTGTTGGTTGTGATGCTAATAATTAAATCTACAATTCTTTTATCTTTCGGGTGTTAAAAATCAAATCATGACAATTTGACAATTGTTT